GGGATACTTCGTAGTTATGATACCCGTGTTTATCAGACGATAGGAAAAGTGTTTTAAGGCTTGAGTGTTCGGTGTTCCCAAAAGGTCCGAGATTTGAAAATCGCAGCACGAAAAACAAAAGAGTTCCACATTTTATCAACAGATAGGAACAGGTGAATTTCAGATATTGTAAAATTATTTTTATATTGTTTAGTGTTTTAAATGACTCATAAAATATAAGTAACCAATAACCAAAACAAGTAACAACTATCAAGTATGTGAAAATTATTGGAATACTTGGTGTTAAAAAAACACTATAAAACTATTTTAGCTGAATTCCAATGCTTCAGAGTATTCTGCTTCATTTTAAATGAATACTTTTGAATAAAGAATTTATAGAATTGTAACTTTATTGCTGAATTAACCATTTTAACATTTTCGCCAATCATCATTATGCGTATTTCGCAACTTTTCTTAAATTGTCATAAAGTTGACAATTACCGAGTGAAATTAAACGAAATGTTCCGACAAGCCTTAATTAAGATCATGTTTGTCAACATGATCTTTTCATTTATCATCAACTCCTCCCTCTCCGTCACAAATTCCGAAGTTTCATCCGTTATTACGTCGTAGTAGAGAGTTGCTTTCTATCCTACCAAGTTCAACTAATTAACTCTGCTATCCCTTAGCAATTAAAATCCATCTCGTTTTGTCTGAAAAGTGCCCCCACCAACCGCTGATTGGTATTCCTAACCACTCCCCCTCTGTCATTAGCTAAAAAGCTGAAAACGCGTGAGAATAAATTAATTAAGCATCGTGAGCATCGACTTTAAAGTGTCGTTGTCAGATTTCGTTATTGATTGAAGATTCGCCCCCAGACCATAACAGCACCGCCGGCTTTTGGCTTACTTGGAGATATAGGGATGGCATAAATTCAATCGAGATTGCAATCATTGACTAAAGTGTTGCCATGACAACAAGAGGGAGAGAAACTGTTCTTTCAGCCACCTCTTTCTCGCCAAGTTTCAATCTGGTAAGGATTTTACCTTTTGGTTCATTCTTTTGGCTACCGTTTATATTATGACTTCGAACTTATTCGTATTTGTCAAATCTATTCGTCTTTCTAAAAGGGTAATTTTAAAATGTCTAGGTATTACTGTCATTTATTTTCAAGTTGAATTCTTATAGATTATGACTTCAGGGAGGAAAACAATTATTTCATCATTCAATTTATTGAACTTATTTGTTTATTTTGTTTATAGAGACGTGGTGTCTCAGAGGATAGAGCACTCGTCTCCCAGTCGTAACCCTGGTTCAAATCACAGTGTTGGCTAGTCGATACGAATTCTGCTCCCTGCTCGTACCGACCATAGCGCTAATATAAAATATCCTCAGTGGTAGATGGATCATTTGTTCGAATCCTCTATCTGTAGGGCTAACCGGGGGAGGTTTTCGTGAGTTTCCTCTCCATGTAACGTCACATGCGGGTTAGCCACATCAAAAAATCCTCCGGGTAGTATGGCCTAACGATTGATCTAGAACAGTGTTTCCCAAACTTATGACTTTTGTGTACCCTTTCTAAATTTTTGTGACGCTGTGTACCACTAATAAAAAATGAATACATTTTTCACTATAAAAAATAGCCCAAAAATTAAAAATTTAAACTGGCTGTTGACACCACTAACTATTAACTGTTAACTCTGCAAAAAATAGCCAATAGAAAAATACGTAATAGTAAATTTTCATGGCTAGCTTTGTTTTTAAATAAAAAAAATTTAAAATTTCGTTTGTGGCAAGATATTTCGCATGAGCACGCTTATCCCCTCTAAATTGTTCCCGTTCCGCTGGGGGTACGCGTACCACACTTTGGGAAACACTGATCAAGGAGCTCCCTTGTCTTCTGGATTAGGTTCAAATTTACAAAACTACGGTGTTGAACATTAATAGTTTTAACCTCAAAATTCGGTCGGCCGTTTAACACCGGTTAATAAATAAAATGAAATCTTGCTTTTAAAGTTCATTTTTCTGAAATTTGTTTTCGCAGTTAAAAATTGAATGTTTTACAATTCATGCAAAATTTGAATTTTGCACCTTTTCTTCAATAAAATATTGCCAACAATAAGAAAAAGACAGCCTGCAGTTCAAGATTTTTGAAAAGGGGAGAGAAATATGAAAAAATTACGTTTTTTCATTATTGACCAAAGTTGAGTCAATCCTTGTTCGTCTAATTGTCCGTTTTGTTTATCAGAATTGGCACTTATAATCAACATGTTCTAATGAAATAATCATAATAATTGTTTGGGAATACGATTGGGAATAAATTACAATAGAATATATGCAAAAATCAAAGATAATCACGCCAAAAGGAATTATAAAATAAAGTAAAATAAAAAAATTTTTAATGGGAAAACGTAAAAGTTTTCATGAAGACTCATTCCTTTCCGATGGTAAATGCGATATTTCCAAGTAAGGAATAATTATCCTAAGATAAAAATTATTCTTTATAATGCGTCTATATCGCTTAAAAAATAAAAATGCAATTGAAAATGAGTTAAAGATAAAAGAAAGCAGAAAACAAGCTTACCGACGTGGAGCAAAAGTAAAAAATGCCTTTAAAATCGATGAATTAATTTAACTACTAAAAACAAGAAGAAAAGAATAAAAACAGTGCTTATTTGAACAAAATAATTCTAAAAATATATTTGGTAGAAAAAGTATGAAGCAAATTGCATATATATATTAATATATGTATATATCAAATTATATTCTTCTTCAACTGTTGTAATAAACTTTGTGAAATATGAATCGTAAAATATTTCCTATTAATTATTTACAAATCTTCTATTCCCAACTGCCATGCGGCTTATAAGCATCATTACAGTGGCTATATTTGACATCTAATAAGCCTTTCGGCGGAAACCCCATTACCGTATTGCTCATGTTGCTCTAATTGCATTTCAATATTCATCCAATACTCTACCATTAAACAGATGTTTAAAACTTCAGAAATCATCAGAGTTACCCGTCAGCAAACTAAAATGTAATATTAAATGTAGTCTATTAGATATTATTCTTCGGATTTGATTTCATCTCATTTTAATCATCATTTAAATGATCTGTTATTATGTTACTTTGTTTAAACTGTTCTGTTACTTTGCTCAAAATATGCCATTTTGGAAATTGGTCTCCAAATTATATTCTTGGTATTTAAACATTATATTCTTAATAATTGGTTTAAACATCATATTCTTAGGATTATTTTTATTATTTGTGTTGATTATTTTTTATAGTATCTTGCATTTTGTATATTTATTCTTTAAATGGAAATTTGATGTTTGTAATCCTTGAAGCTCATTACTTGAACTCCCTTAAACAGTTTAAAAGTTTATTAAAAATCTATTTAAGACTATAGAATGCGTAATCTATTTTTTATATTTTTTTAGTTTTCCAGACAAGTTTACATTTATCATTATAAATATACAAAAACTTATATTATTGCAGATACACTTCTCTGAACTGCCATCCTTATTTAAAGGCCAACTCATATTGCAAATTTTATATACCTGTAATAATAAATAAATTACAGACGTACAAAAATTTATATTTAATTATTGCAGATACACTCCTGAACTGCCATCCTTATTTAGAGGCCAACGCATATTACAAATTTTATATATCTGTAATAATAAATAAATTACAGACGTACAAAAACTTATATTTTATTATTGCAAATACGCTCCTGAACTGCCATCCTTATTTAGAGGCCAACGAATATTGCAAATTTTATATATCTGTAATAATAAATAAATTACAGATGTACAAAAACTTATATTTGATTATTGCAGATACACTCCTAAACTGCCATCCTTATTTAGAGGCCAACGCATATTGCAAATTTTATATACCTGTAATAATAAATAAATTACAGACATACAAAAACTTATATTTAATTATTGCAGTTACACTCCTGAACTGCCATTTTTATTTAGAGGCCAACGCATATTGCAAATTTTATATATCTGTAATAATAAATAAATTAGAGATTTACAATAAATTCTAAGTCTTCAATATACTATCACTAACGTAAGACGATGCTAAGCTTGCAACACGAACAAACAGTAATAAACAAATGAAAAAAGACCAAATCAGGATTGCAAAAAAAAAAAGCGAGTTTCTCAAAATCTAGCAACTATGTCACCTTTTTTAACAATATATCTGTAAATAACTAAAACAAATTTTAGCTTCTAACTCACCAGAATTACTTAATAACATTAATATCTTAAGAAATACGACAGATTTGAGCTCAAAAATTATCCAATTTATTTTTATTGAAAACAAAATTTTCCGTTTGAAAATATCGCCTCGCATAATAAGCTGTAGTAAGCAGCTGCAAACTTTCTTACCGGAACTAGAGCAGATAAGGAGCTCGAGATTGTTATTGTTTACATTTATATTGAAAACACCATCCATAATTAAATGTATAAAACCTGCTTTAACTCCTTTAGAATTTTTAAGAATACTATCAAATTTCAATGACTATTTCTATCGCAAAAAAAATTAAACCTACTTTAACTCCAATAAAATAATATTAATACTATAACTATGCAATGATCGTTTTTATCACAAACTTGTTTCTACTCCTACAGATATAATATTAATACTTGGTATAGCAACTTCTATATTCCCTGTACCGCGGATAACGTAAGAAAAATAAGTTTAAAATGACTAAATCACGTTTGTTTTACTTTTTCAGAAGAATTTTCTTCCTGCTTTGAATGTTTATATCGATTTCTATTTCGCTATTCATAACTGGATTTCTTTGCACCAGTTTTTTATTCTGACCACTTGAGAAAAAAAATAGTAAAAATTGTTTCTTTTTTGAAAACTGTTCTTTGAGCCAAATATCTAGATTTAAATTTAATGGTTTATGAATAACTTTCAAATTGTCTTACATTATTTGCAATCATTTTCAATTTACATATTTGCATGTTTATATTTAATAAAAAAAATTTTGTTTTTAGGACTTGGATTAAATCCTTTCATTCTTCACTTCGAACCCTTATTTTATAGCCAAAAACAGTTGAATGAACAAAATTATCGGTCCAAACGTTCTCCTAAATCTGAAATTCGGTTGCAGTTCACAGCACATAATAAGTAAGTAGACCATTTTTAAGAATTGTTTAACTAAATTTATTTTTCGAATAAAAACGTTTAATGAAATCATAAAAATATTAAAAATATGTAGCTTGTAATATTTCCAAGTTTTATGGTTTTATCAACTATAAATTCATTCTTTCACAAAGATTGCTGAAATTTACAAACATATACATTAACTGGACCGGTGTTGTACGGCAAACTCATTTTTGGGTCTACGCCTATCATGTTCAACGCCGTAGCTTTTAAATTTTAAACATAACCTGAAAGACAAGGGAACTCCTGGATTAAGAATTGGAACAGACTAGCCTTCGTAGAGGACTTTTTGATGTATTAATCAACACTACCTAAACGAGAAAAGTCCTCCGCGTGGTTCAATTTAATAGTTCAACGTAATGAATGTAAACTGCGCAGTGGAGATGGAATAAGAAAGATATAAAAACATTCGCTCTACTAAACTGCGCAGAGGGGTAAATTGAAAGATATCGCGACGTTCAGACTACTAAAGGATCGCATTACTTTTTTATGGTAGCACGTACAGAGGGCTTCTCTCTTCTAGGTGTTGTTGAACTGACCCACTTTTACTTTAGATGGAGATGGAAACCACGAAAAACTCCCTCTGTTATCCGAGAGGCAAAGGTATTCTAACCCATGGTTTGTCTACCACTGAGGATATTTTTACGTCAGGGGTATGGTTAGTACGACCGGGAGCATAATTCGTACCGACCAGACATTGCATAGATTCGAACCTGACTGGACATTCTGACTGACTGACAACTGATTGTAAATCTTGTATTATCCCATTATTTTCAATTAAAAGATAGCCTAGTCAACAAAATTTATTTTATGCCCCAGCTTTGTTTTGTTTTGTTTCTACTGTATTACTATTCATTTGCAATATAACGACAATGAAGTTAAAGGTGACAATATCGATTTGAAATTATTTTTACGCTTAACCCAATACAAATGAATTTATTAAATTTACTCGTATTATAAGTTTTTCTTAAATGTGCAAAATTGAATCTTTGGCACTCACTTTGAATACTTTTTCTAGAATATTCAATTATGTTATACAAATAGAATTTACAAAGTTAGTATAAGAAACATCAAAAATTAATTGGCTATTTATACCAAAAATCGAATATTCGTTCATTTCTATTTATTTTAAAAGAAATGATCTAATCTGTGTGTTTTTTAAATAATTGGATTTATATTTTCGCAAATGGAATATAATTTTCTTTCAATTCAAAGATTCAAACAGATTTACTTTTTCTTTGCTTATTAAACAATTGTAAGTGTATAAGAGTCTTTTTTTTTATAGGAATTAGAATCGAGGAAATTTTTCAAAATGTTTTCATTTAATTACGTCTACGCTTAAAGTACTAAAATAGGTTATTTTAAATCTTTAACTTAATTTTCTTTTTTATGAATATTAGAATTTTTTTTTTTTTGATGCTGAGGGAAAGTACTCTCAAATTAATATTTATTTTTAAACTTTAAAAAAATTACAAAACTTGAACATTTTTATTACGAATACCTTAAAATATCTTTTTTCAATTTAAAATCTGCTTTAACTTAAATTTATATCATTTAGATCAGAAATACTTGTTTCGGCTAAAAAATTATTCAGTAAACTTCATCTTAACCACTTCCCTGATTATCCCGAGTTACCTCGGGTATGTATATATTGAAAATATTATCCCGAGTAAACTCGTCAATACGTTTTGTTTTATCGAGTTTTTATTCGGTCGGAAGTAATAATAATAATCTGCCATGATTGAAAGTTTGTGGGTTTTGCGACTTGTGGGACTGCAGACGCATTTTGTGTAATTGTATATACGATGTTTGATAAATTTACATAAAGAAAGAGTTTAAAAAAAAAAAAGACGTTTGCGAGCGAAAGTGAAAGTAATGCGGATGATTTTTCAGATTATGAAGATGTGAACATATACAAGGAATAATATTTAACTTTTTTCATTTGCCCGAGATAATTTGGGATGGTAAATTAAATATTTTTTACACATAAAAAAATTAAAATTTCAACTTAGAACTTGTGTATTATGTTTTGTTTTAGTTCCTTGTATTTATTAATGAAATAAAAAAGTATGTGATTTTTGAATTTTTTTTTTCAAAAAAATTGGTAAAAGAAGCGGTTAAATACTCAAATGTATACTTAATACTCTTAATGTAAAACCTTTGTAACTTTAGATCTAATGATCGGATTTTCACGCACTGAAATTCAATCTTAATGATTTCAAGGGTTATTTGTTTTATATATACTAATTATTGTAAATGCTGCGCGATGTATGTGGAAAATTATTTTTAATTATTTAGTTTAATAGCTGAATTGGGAGCCATGATGTATGTGGAAGATTATTTTTTTTAATTATTTAGTTTAATAGCTGAATTGGGAGCCGCAATGTATGTGGAAGTTTATTTTTTTTTTAATTATTTAGTTTAATAGCTGAATTGGGAGCTGCGATATATGTGGAAGATTATTTTTTTGATTATTTAGTGAAATAGCTGAATTGGGAGCCGCGATGTATGTGGAAGATTATTTTTTTTAATTATTCAGTTTAATAGCTGAATTGGGAGCCGCGATGTATGTGGAAGATTATTTCTTTCAATTATTTAGTTTAATAGCTGAATTGGGGGCCGCGATGTATGTGGAAGATTATTTTCTTTAATTATTTAGTTTAATAGCTGAATTGGGAGCCGCGATGTATATGGAAGATTATTTTTTTTAATTATTTAGTTTAATAGCTAAATTGGGAGCCGCGATGTATGTGGAAGATTATTTTTTTTAATTATTTAGTTTAATAGCTGAATTGGGAGCCACGAAGTATGTGGTTGAGACACCAAACTCTTATTGTGACGAACTGAGGTCGATGCAAAGTGCCGGCTTGAAGCCCACCCGACTTCAGATCGATGGGCTCGCCTGGGAAGTAAAGGCGGTCTGAGCTCAGAGCGTTCGCTTTCCAATGAGGTGAATCGAGTTCGAATCTCGGTCGACACGAATTCCGCATCCGGCTTGTACCGACCACAGTGTTGATGTGAAATGTCCTCAGTGGTAAACGGATCATGGGTTAGAGTCCCCCTGCCGTCAGACTAACCGTGGGAGGTTCTCGTGGTCTTCCTCTCCATGTAACGCTAAAGCGGGTTAGTTCCATCAAAAAGACCTCCACGAAGGCAAAACTTCTCCCTATTCTTTATCCAGGTGTTCCCTTGTCTTCTGAATTGGGTTCAAAATTACAAGGCTACGTAGTTGAACATTAGTACTCATAAACCCAAGTATTAGGTCGGCTGTTCAACGACGGCTATAAGAAAAAACTATCTTTTTCTCAAAAACAAATAGTCATAGAATTCAGAAATGTTATTAATGGGTCGTTTTTATACATTACGAGTAAAAAATCTACCTATACAGTCTTGATCGGACACACTTTCTCAACACATGTTTTATAAATTTCTTTAATCTATACAAGATGATTATAAAATAAGCATATCGCTGGTCCAAAGTTAAAACGACACTTCTGCAAATATAATTAGTGTTGTTTGAATGAGAAGTGTCGTTTTAACTTTGAACCAGCGATATGACCCCTGTTAAGCGTGTAATTTGAGGGAATGAAATAAAATTTTGTATAAAGATGCATATTTATAAGATAGGCGCTCAAGAGCATTGGTTTGGTTTTGGTTTTATTGAAATTACATACATTTGCTGACTTGTGTGCTCAATATAGGCTTATAAGTCATTGTCAAGTAGAAAATACAGATAGAACAATTCAGAGAAAGACATCACAAAGAATACATCCAGGGTTACGGCGGGATTCGAACCCGCTACCTCCGATACCGCTCGGCCAGGGAGGCCCCTCAAGAGCGTTGTTGAAAAGATTATCCAGCGCTAACGCTTACAATTACTGTTAGAAAATTTTGAAATTTTCAAATAAAATCATCCGTTACTTTTTGTTGAAAGGTTATCCTCACAGTAAAAACTTTAACTTGGAACTGTATTTTCAATATGAACAGAGGCAGAGATTATAAGCCTATTGTAACATATCGCTCATGGGCTGCAATAGTGGCACAGTTTAAAAAAACACGCGTTTTGGACTAAGACCTGGTGTAAATATGAAAAGACTCATTCTTTCAGCAGCAATACTTGCACAACTCATAATTCAACGCGTTTAAGCAAACGAAAGCATTTCTTATGCAATAAAAACGTTAAACCCAAAACTTGATTTTTTGAGTTGTGCCGCTATTGCAGCGATATGCGTGCGCAACAAGAGATCAAATCGAAATAAATAGTGGTGACGCTAGACAGAAATGAAAAGATGCAAATCACTGTGCATTGAATAGCTGTTATATCTCAAATTTTTAGAATACCCTTTTCTCGCTCTTTGAGACGTCTATGAATATTTAAAAATCCTCCTGTTATCGTAACCGGGACACCGCAAAAGGTGGATAATCATTTTCAACACTAACCATTATACCTTTATTCAAAATTTTAAGCCAATTTTTTATTTTTTATTTTTTGTTAGTTTATTTATTGTCTACAACGGCTTAGACTGGGATTTGATTCACTGCCCTAAAGACGGGACTTTAGAATAGTCACTGGCTATGTTATTAGACGCACTATAAGATTCTATGTGAAATCTTAATCATCAAGTGATACTATACAGTTTTATTGTTTTTACTCGGCTGAAACTTGTTTACGTTCGTGTACCAATTGGTTAACATTGTAACGCGATACGTTAAAAATAAAAACAAACGGGAAGTACATGAAAAATCTTCCGAATAAAAACCCATTACATGTAAGTTTAAATGTAAAAGTATCGCGTATAAACTCGTGCAAAACATGTAATTATTAAAAAACTATAGTGCATTGAATAATTTGCTCTAATTATTATGATATACCAATATAATACTTGATATAATCAACATTCTATATTTATATAATATATCGTCTAATTTATCCGATTGTCGAATTTATATTATATATCGTCCAATTGATACACGAGCGTAAACTAGTGCAGACCGCTTTTAGTCTCGTAAAAACAGTAAAGTTGTATAGTATCACCTGATACTTAAGATTTTATATAGAATCTTATAGTGCGTCGAATAATTTGGCCAGTTTCGAAATGCCCCACTCATGGTTAAGCGGAGAATAGTGAAAATCCAGGTGTCGTGGCAGTGCTCAACAGTATTTGGGTCATTATTATGAATGAATCCCAGACAATAGCCCGTAAATGTATCTCAAGTAAATAACCAAATGTTATTTTATAATCATGCTGTATTTTATATGTTTGTCTAATGTATATTTTATTTTTGCAGAGTCTTTAAACTTAGAATGAAATCAGAAAGTTCTATTTTTGCATCAGATGTCTTGTTTGAATCATCTAGTAGAGGGATTTTTGATTATGATATGAATAAAGTATTAAAAGGCCATTTAGATGGTGAATCTTTCTTTCTTTACTTTATAATATAGAAATGCATGTGATTGATTATTGACAAGACTACGCAACTGTAAACAAATTATTGTTTAAGCAGGCGCTGTAGCGATATTACTTTAAAATCAATTTTTATTCTTGCAATAGAAAGAAGTAATAGAATGGCGTGATTACAAACCAATGTTTATAAAAACTGCCCTGCAATTTGATACTCAGAAATCAATAAAATTTATTTTTGAGCTTTAGGATGCTTAAAATAGTTATTTCGATTGAATTTTAGCGTGACTATTTTTTGCATTAGTTAGTATTTTTAACTTCGATTGTTCTTTTTTAAGAGTTACTAAGAAGATATAATGATTCTTTTTGCGTATTAAAATGTTTACACTTTTAGTAGAATAGTTTTAATAGTAGTTCCATTTGTTAAACTTTCAAATAGGGAAAAAATAAACTTAATTTTACTAATGTTTTGGATTGACACGAATGCTGGGTAATGCCGTAATTAGGAATGCAATATTATGACGGGAAATATCAATATTTCGCAATATATCGCGATAGTTTTCAATGAAGCTAATTTGCATTACAATGGATATTTCAAGAAAAAACATCTTTTCTAACATTTCCTTAAATGTTTTTCTTGATCGAAATTTTATAAAGACAATGAGTTAAAATTAATAATAGGTATTGCGAATTAGTCAAACTCAACACCTACGTCAGCATCATTGTCAATAATTATCACGATAGTGTTTAATTCGATTATTATTATGATCAATACCCAGATAGCAAAATAAGGTTTATTTTCTCTAATAAAGCGTAAGTGACAATACTTTTTAAAAAAGGCTTTAAAAATAATTTTTAACCCTTTTAGGATGAAAGGTTTGAAACTGCAATATTTTTACTTCATTTGAAAAAAGGTTTTTAGTACAAAAATTTTTGTGACAATGGAAGGAAAATTCTGATACAACGTTGCCGTAAGGTTACATGCTTTCTGGGATATTTACCGCGATTATCGGCATCGGTAAATATCACTGATGGCGATATTACTGTATTCGATAATTTAAAATATTTTAAAATCTTTAACTCAAGTGGGACACCGGCTTATATTTTTTCTGACGCTCTGATTACAAATTAAAATATATTCTAGTATNACCGTCGCTAATAGCCCATTGTGCAGCTCTAGTGCGACGTAAATTAACAACAACAATAAAATATTTTTAAATCTTTAACTCAGGTGGGACACCGGCTTATATTTTTTCTGACGCTCTGATTACAAATTAAAATATATTCTAGTATTTTTTAATAATAAAAAATATATTTTTTATAATAAAAAATAGTTTAATAGTTATTAAAAAAAATCTCATAGATTATCAGAATTATAATTGCTCTGAAATATAAAGTCCAAAAAAAGTAGTTAGAAAATTTCATTCATATTCAAAAATTTGTCAATGAGTGATTTTGTGAATTGAAGATATTTCAATGATGAATTATAGTTCGTTCACCAGGAGTTGGCATTTGGCTCCACCTCTTCGGACGAAGAGCTCATTTCATCGCGGGAGTAGGAGGAGAAACGCAGGGCTGATTGTGCTCCGGAAAAAATCCAGATTTCCGGATTTTTCGCTAACAGTGATCCGGAAGTTTCCGGAGATTGAAGGTCCAGACGTTTAAAAAAATCATTGATCACAGAAGTTTCCGGAAATCAAATTTTCAAAGGTGGAGCTTAAAAACACTGTTTATTTTATTTGTTTGTAAGGGAGAGCCAGAGAGATACTTTATAAGCTTATAATCATGATTAATATTCATTTTTTATCAGTAAGTAGTGGTTACAATCAGTGGTAGTAAATAAACTCAAGAAAAAAAGATATATTTGTAAATTTTAATTACTTCTCCAGGTCATCATAGGTATGTGTAAATGGTATAGGTATTTGTAAAATTGTAAATATATTTTAAGTAAACTAAGAAATATTGAGAAAAAGGAAAAATAAACTTATTTAAATTTTTTTTTTTTTAACTCAAGACATTTTCCGGAATTTTGACTTGGACTCACAATCACCCCTAGAAACGTCTCCGTGCTTGAAATTGAGACAACCCTAAATGCACGCCAAACGCAAACAGTAAATTATTTTTCAGTCACTTACTTCGCTTTATCATCTGCTATTATACCTTTCTTTACTTTAGCTAATTAAATATATTTTAAATTTAAAAACTTCAGTTTTACCTGTAAAATGTCTCAAAAAGGACGAACTATTCACTCACAAAAGAAAAATATAATCTAATTTATGAAATATTTATTGTTAAAAAAATGCACGTAAAGATTGCGAAATAAATATTTTTGTCAGGCGATCGCCGATTAGCAACTTCGTTCAGGATTGTTCACATCCTTCTCGCAAAAATAGCGAAATAGTATTGTCGGATACCACGTTATGAGCCAAGTGCTAATTCCTGATGACTGAACTATACTGTTTCTCTTAGATCTAAATAACTGCAAATAAGCGCAAATTTGAAAAACAATTCCCAGATAGCAAAATAAGGTTTATTTTCACTCAACAAAAGCCTTTTAATGTAAGCCTAAAAAGGTTTGTAATACGGTTTACGTGTAAACCTTCTAACCTTGAAACAAGATCTGTGACAATCTTCTCTATTCTACGCGCATTACCCAAATCAAAATCCTTAGAAAACAACCTTCTATATAAAAACCTTATATCGAGGTTGTCTTAGGGTTTTCAAGCTTGAAAAAATCCTTAAATAAAGCTAGTCTAATGGTGTAAATAATCTTAAATCTAAGTAATTATTAGGTTTCTTTTCGCAACGTCTTTTATCCTCAGCTAAAATCCACCTTGTCATGAAACTTTAATTAACAAAGCAATTGGATCCCATCGCTGGTGTGACGTCAGCTAAAGCGTCATTACGGATAATATTTTTTTTAAAAAAAGCTTTGAAAAATAATTTTTAATCCTTTTAGGGTGAAAGGTTTAAAACTAATATTTTTGTTTTATTGAAAAAAGGTTTTTAGTACAAACATTTTCCTGACAATAGAAAGAAAATTCCTACACAAGATTGCCGTAAGGTTACATGCTTTCTGGGATAGTTTTTAAGCGAGCCTATCTGTCAATATTTGCCTAGGGATTAAGATAATAACTATTTTTTGTCATTAACAGATATACAAAATAAAAATGTGGATTGCAGTATTTTTTTAATTTCTATCCCGATTCCATTAATAAAAATCGACAGCGAAAATTTATACTTTAGTCTCATACTCAGTGCTCCTAAGGAATTGAAAAATCATGTTAAAGAAAAGCGGAAAGAGATAGAAAAGTAATATTCCTTGCATTCTGTCTAGGAAACTAGATAAAGTCTTCTCAGTAACTTAACTCGTCTAAAATTAGAGTTGCTAACAGAGAAAAAATTTAAGATTATGCTTTCATGGTGACTGTGGCATAACTACCACTACGATTATTAAACATTAATTCACTAGTATATAAGACAACTTTGCAGCAACATGAGATTATCTGAGGGCAAATTAAGCGAGACCCAAACCAATATTTTTTATTAAAATAGTGGATGCAAAGCTGCGAGCATTGTTTTATACAGTCCCTGGTCAAATTATTAGACGCACTATAAGATTCTATATGAAATCTTAATTATCAGTTGATACTATACAGCTTTATTGTTTTTACGTCACTGAAACCGGTTTGCACTTGTTTACGTTAGTATATCAATTGGGCAAAGTAGACGATATATTATATAAATGTAGAATATTTATTATACCATGCATTATATTAGTATATTATAATAATTAGATCAAATTATTAAGCACACTGTAGTTTTTTAATTATTACATGAATTGCTTGAGTTTATAGGCAATACTTTTTTTATATTTAAACATAAATGTAATGGGTTTTAATTCGGGAGATTTTTTTATATACTTCCTATTTGTATTCATTTTTAACATATTGCATTGCAATGTTAACCACAATTGATACAGGAGGGTAAACAAATGCAAACTGATTTCATCCAAGTAAAAACAATACTGCAATACTCACCTGATAATTATAATTTTACAGAGAATCTTATAGTGCGTCTAATAATATGGCCAGTTTCGAAATGCCTATTCATGGTTAAGCGGAGAATGGTGTCATGGCAGTGCTTACAACAGTATTGTGTTTGGATCTTCATTATGAATGATTCCCGGACAATAGCCCGTAAATGTAGCTCAAGTAAGAAGAATTATATGAATACCAATTGTCTATTAGGTTAACTATAATATTTTGGAGTTGATATGTTTGAATATTCACCTAAGAAATCATCTGATTCTACTTCCTCCATCTCCATGGATTAACTTATCAACCTATGGAAAAGAATTAGAATTTACCTATGGAGAATTATGTGAATGCCAACTGTCTATTTATAAGTTAACTATAATATTTTGAAGCATTTTTTGTTTTAATTTACTCTTTAAAATATATTTCATGAAGCTAGACATCGAATTTTTATATTGATGGTTTTAAGTATTTTTCAACTTTTTCCGTACAGTAAATATCTTTGATAATTGACAAGTTTTTTTAAAAAAAACTTCAAATCTTACAAATTAAAATTGGGTTTCATATTTCTATAAAATACATTTTAAGAAAAAAAAACGAAGCAAAAATATATTAAAACATTAATTATCTTAAATATAGGGAATTGGTATACATATAATTCTTTGCAATGTAATATTAAAAAGAGGAAAATCATAGTTTGACAAAAAGATACTCTTAGGAGAGCGCTATACCTTGGGATAAATCCTATATGGCAAATTTTCTATCATCTACATAAGTAACTTAAAATTAAGTATTGAAAAAGTGAGCTAAAGTAAACCATGACAAATCAAGTGATGAAAAAAATTTTTTCAAATTATTAAGCAGAAATTATTGCTCGATTGATTATTATTGCATTGATTATTGAATTATTACATTGCCCTAAATCGCAATCCTGAGTTATCCATCCATAATTTGTTTCTATTTTGATATCTTGAAATATAATGGAAAAAAAAGTTTTCATATTAAAAAGCAAACAAAATATTGCAGGATTACATTCCTCCGTTGCGTAATCCTGTATTATCCGTCCATAATTTTTTTACATTTTATCTTGCAATTGAATTTAAAAAAAAAAAAAAATCAAAATTTTAAATTAATCCCAAATAAAAAAATAAGGTTTATTTTCACTCAACCAAAACCTTTTAATGTTTTTGTTATTGCAGTTCATTTACGTCGCACTAGAGCTGCACAATGGGCTATTGTCGATGATCCGAAGACAGGCAATTTTTCACACCTCTGCAGAGGGGATAGCACCCCCCCTTCAGTAGCCCGACGACATGCACGCAAAGTAGAGCACTTTACGGTAGCACAGTTTAACAAAGATCAATACCCCACACCCTCGGTCCATACACAGACCTGATCGAAGTGGTCACCCACCCGCACACTGACCGCAGCCAGTGATGCTTGACTTCGTTGATCTGCTGGGAAACGTGTCTTAACGACCAGCCCATTGTGAGACAACCTTTTAATGTAAACCTAAAATGGTTTGTTATGTGGTTTATGTGTAAACCTTCTAATCTTAAAACGAGATCTGTGACAATCTGCTTGATTCTACGGACATTACCCTATTCCAAAACCTAGGAAAACAGCCTTCGATATAAAAACCTTAAATCAAGATTGTCTTAAGCATGAAAAATTCCTTGAATGAAGACTAGTCTTAGGTTAAAATTATCTTAAATCTAGTTAATTATAACGTTTCTTTTCGCTACTTCTTGTATGCTCAGCTGAAATTCACCTTGTCATGAAATTTTGATAGACAATGCAATTTGGTCCCATCACTAGTGTGACGTCAGCTTAAATGCCATTATGGACGTAAATGACCATTTCACCTAAGAGACAATATTTTTTAGAAAAAGCTTTAAAAATAATTTTTAGTCTTTTTAGGATGAAAGGTTTGAAACTGCAATGTTTTTGCTTTATTTTGATAAAAGGTTTTTAGCATAAACATTTGCATGACAATAAAAAGAAAATTCCCGCAAGATTTTGCTGTAAGATTACATTTTTTCTGGGAATAAATTATTGCAGGGGGCCTCCCAGGCCAAGCAGTATCACCCGCCAATTGCTATACAAAGCTTGGAGGTAGAGGGTTCAAATCCCGCCATAGCCCTGGATGTATTCTTTGTGATGTCCTTCTCTGAATTGTTCTATCTGTCCTTCTACTTGACAAAGGTTTATAAGCCTAAATTGAGCACACAAGCCTACAAATGTATGTAGTTTTAATAAAGCAATAAATAAATTATTGTGCAATTACTTTCCCCCAAAGGTAATTCTAAGTTTTCGAAATGCAAACAAACGATGGATGGTTATTTTGAAATTTTTTTTCAGCATTTTAAATTTATGGTTTACTCTGGATTTGCCTGAACTCCCCTTTTCATAATTTAAATTGTAAATTACCAATTGAGGGAAAACAGAATTTGTAATCAAAAGTTTCTTTGTTTGTATAGATAAAATAAAATTTTTAATCTTTTTTTTTCTATTCTGCAGATGACGAGGATTCATCAGTAGAAGGAGTAATTACATCAAATGGACTGCTAGATGCTGTCGTGAACACAAAGCGTGAACAGTATTTTATTGAACCATCTTCAAGATACTTTCCAGATTCACATCAGCTCTTTCATTCTGTCATCTATCGATTATCAGACGTCCATTTTCCTCTTGGAAATATAACCCACAAATCACCTTCATCTGTACATAAACATGATAAAAGTCCATTTTTACATCATCATATAACATCATCATCAGATCTCCCACATTCGGTTGTACATAAAAATCGCAAAGACAATAGTTCCTTGGAATTCCCATTATTTTTGAAACTCTCCTCAAAATTTCATTTTCGGCATTTAAAAAATAAAACTCATCATATCCGGACTAACTATCATTCTCGGACTCTATTATCATCAAAAACATATGAGGATATTTTATACTGGAGGGATGGGGATTCATTACATTATCGTAATTTTGAACGATATGGTGATTCTGAACGGTATGGAGTTCGATCCAATCAAAGAACACATTGGTCTGAAGACAGAACTGATAGACACATAGCAATAGATCCGCAAAAAAGTACTTGTATGCTATACTTGCAAGCTGATCATCTGTTTTATCAGAAAATGGGAAGTGAGGAAGCTTGTATTGAGACTATGACTCGCCATGTACAGAAAGTGAATGGTATATATAAAAACACAGGTATTTATACTCATCTTTTTTATAATTTATTGTATTATACTCTTTAAATGTGGAGACACCAAAAAATTGTATATTTTTAATTGATACCCCGCATCAAATTTGATGTAAGTCTTTTATGATTTTTTACGGATTCATAAAATAACATAAATTAGTTAGAAAAGTGGGGGAAAATGTCACAAGCATTGGGACAAACTAGCCTTCGTGAAAGACTTTTTGATGGAACTAACTCCCATTTGTTCTACATGAAAAGAAAAACCTCCTACAATTTCCCAAAGATAAAGGGATTCTAATCCATGACCCATCTACTATTAAGTATATTTTACTTTATCACTTTGGTTGGTTAGAGGCAGGAGCAGAGTTCGTATCAACCAGCCATTGCTGGGATACGAACCTGGATCACCTCATAAAGAGGTAGACGCTCTATCCCCTGAGCCATCTCAACTTTTCAATTTTTGCATTAATTGAAACAAGTACATTACCCACAGTCTTTTTGAATACAATAAATTGTTTTAAAAAATTACTTTATCTAGTCCTTGAGTCAATCTTGTAAATTTGAAACTGATTTTTTTTTATTTAATTATAAATGTTAAAATACCTACTTCTACTACTTATGAATCAGAATTAAAATTAAGAAATTTAAAAAATAAAAGTTGCATAAAAAATTTTAAAATTTCAAAGATAAAAAGTTAATCTTATGTTAAGAAATTATATTAAAGTTAAGCTACTTAAGTCATATTTGAGACAAATATATCTGCATCATAAATATGTTTATACCATAATCAACTATTTCACATAACATTTTAAAAAAAATATTAGTACCTTTGCATCAATTTGGAAGCCTAATTATTTCATATTTGTTTATTTATCTATTTTTAGTTTTGATTTTATAATTAAAAGTTTGGATTTTATAATTTATTTTTAAAAAGAATCATTTGCATAAAAGTTTAGTTTATTATTTACTTCATGTGTTGCTTTTACAGCTTCTTTTAAAAGATTTAGCCAGTTTTTATTTTAACCTATGTTCAACAAATGATTTAAATTTTGTTCTTATAGCTAAATATGCATTTGTAATATTAAAAGAAAATGCTTATGTATTCTATTTTTATTTTATTTTCATAAATTTGCATGGTTATTTTTTGTTGGATAAGTTTTTGTTTACTTTCTTTAGCTAATAATTTTGTAGAAATGCAAAGTTTCCTTTAAAGACATCATTACTTGCTTTACCACACAGTAGTGTAGTAAGAAATGCATTGGTGGTTCCTGAAATGATTTGAACAAAACCTGGAACTTTTAAAATAGGTAGTAAATATTTTATTTCAACATTTTTATCTATTTATTAACATAGAATTTAAATTATGAACTCATTTTAAGTCAAGTTTCATTATTTTATTAAAAATTTAATACTAGTTCTTTTTAATAAGAACTTATTATGTGGTTAGCAGAAATATCTCAGCCTTTGTAAGTCCGCACATTTTTCATCTGATTTAGAAAACTTTCATTTTCATATACAAATTAAATTAGGTCGTTATTACCTAATTTAATATAGAATTAGCACTTATTTTATTCCTAAAAATTCGTTTTAACAAAACACTTTTTACAATTATTTATTAATAAAGAAAAGTCTATTTTAACAAAACTCTTTTAATACATCCAAGTTTTGACATCAAAAGCTATTTTTATTTTTAGATATCAAAACTCAAACTTAGACTTTTCTCTATTAATACAATTAGGAAGATACATACGGGGTCAAATATTTAAATCCCACGATCAAATATTTAAGGGCTGATTGCAAACATCTAAACAAGTAATTTTCACCTCATAATGCATGGATAAAGAGCAAGAGATGAATCAGGTTATTATGACATGAAAAAACAGAACATCAAATTGGTAGAGAGGGTATTAACAGTGACGGTGGAAGCATTGTATGAGGGGGGCTTTTTCCCCTCCTGTATATATATCCAAAGGNACATATATATATATATATATACATATATATATATTAGTATTAATCGGGTCCGAATTATCTGATCCTTACAAAATGGCAATCAGGAATTCGAATTTGCAATTTTAATTTTCTAATTCAAATTGTTGCAAAATTTTAAAAAATGAATTGTTTGCCTGTAAATTATTCCTCTCTCATTTAACAGTATTTTTTTAATATGTTTTACTATTTTTTTTAATTTGATATTCTGTTCTGAAAAACTAATAAATTAGATATTTAAAAAAAGTACTGTAAATATTGTTGTAAATCTAAATTTTGGTAATAAGCTATGTCTCCACTCTTGTAAAAAACTATGAGACTAAGTTGCAAATGAAAAATTCCTGGTTCTTCAAAAACACCAAGGATTTTAAATGTCAATTAAAGAAGAACTGAAAGATAAAACTTCCCAGCTTACTGCATTCTTCTTAGGAAACTAGTTCATTTATTCTCATGAGATCTTCAAGCCTTCTTTGCCTATTGGCTCGATTGCGGTGCTTATATTCGTGCATGACTTGGAGCCTTGTAGCAATGAGTCTATGGATTGCTTATTCTCTTGTACTGCAGCGATGGTTACGAGTGAGTCTTCAATTTGATTTTGTATGGATCTTAAAACCTGGTTCACTCTAACTAATTGTTTATTATCGTGATGTTTCAAAATTAGTTACTAATTTCATCAACAAATGCCGCTGGTGACTGGACCTATAAAACAATGTTTCTGCTGCATGTTAGACCATTCCAACTGAAATGTTTACACAGACATCTGTAATTTAGTTCTTGAACTTTGCTACATTGTTACTATGAATGCTTGGCTTTTTTAAATATTGCATAGAAAGTTTGCCTGGTCACCAACACCATCTGTTGACAACTTTGTTATTAATTTTTAAATTTGTTAATAAAAATCTCTAGTTTCCTGAACAGAATAACACAAACCATACATTTCTACTTTTTTTAACTAATTTTTTAAATTATTGAATTTTATAGGACACCTGATAGGAAATGACAGCTTTAAAATAAAATTCTCATATTTTTTTAACTAATTTATTTTACACATATTAAAATAAATACTTTTCATTTATCTTATTATACTCTCAAAAAAGAACTTATTAACATTTGTTTGTCACAAAAGATTACTGAGCTAATTTGTTTTCCCTTCAGATTTTGATCAAGACGGACGTCCAGACAATATATCATTTTTGATTAAGCGAATCAAAGTGCACACATCTGATGCTTTAAAAGATCCTGTGTACAGATTTCCAGGAAATTATGGAGTTGAAAAATTTTTGGAGTTATTTTCTGAAGAAGATTATGATGCCTTCTGTTTAGCTTATATGTTTACTTATCGTGATTTTGAGGGCGGAACATTAGGCTTAGCTTGGACTGGAGATCTGAAAAATGCTGGTGGTGTTTGTGAAAAAAATGGGGTATGTTAATAATTGTTTCAATAGAATGTTTTAAATTTTTAATAAAGTTTCTCAACTACAGGAACATTTTATCTAGGATAAACCAGCTCTTCTTAATGCAAATTTTTTTATTTCTTTTGAAAATAATCTATTGCCTAAAAATGGATTACCCAAAATTACAATTGATACCTTTCCTTAATGTTATTACAATTTGTTTTGAATAAATATGGTACTTCTATATGCTGTTTTTCTAAGTTAGATAGTTATATAAGCAATCCATTCTCAAACAGATAAATTTAGGCAACAATTTGTCATCAAATTTCAGTATTACATGTCTGCAGGATGTTTCAAAATCACTACACTTAATATTTATTTTTAGGAAATTAGTTACAAATGAAGTTTAAAAATCTTATATTTTAGCAATAACTGCTCTAGTTAAATATTTAAGTGAAGAAAAAAAATCATAATCTGAAAAATCACTAATGAGGATGCAGAATTGAAACCATAAAACCTGTTGGTGCTTCTAGTCTTTCATGTCTACATATCGTTTTTTACAGCTATCAAACAGGTTTTTTGGGTTTTAATCTCGCTCTTGCTCGTCAAACATTCCTCAAGTTTTAAAAAATTTCCCTTTTTCTCTTCTCATTTATACATCAATTTGCGATCTTCTACCATTTTTGTTCATTTTATTTTTGACAGTCTCTAAAAACGTAGTGTGTTGATTATAGAGTAAAATGTATAGATTTGGAATTTTTTTAAAAATAATTCTGAGCTATTTCACTGTGATAAATGTTTTTTTATTGTTTCCAATTAAAACATGAGGGACATTTCCCCAAATACTAATTTTAAACAGAAACAATATGTTATATCACAGAAGAAAAAAGCAAACAAAAAAACTCATTGAAAAAGATAGCTAATTTGTTTAACATAATTTTTCATAGCAAAATTATTTACAATGATACCAAAATAATTTTAGTTTTAGTCTGAGAGATTATTTTAAAAATACTAATTTGTTAAATATACATGACAATGATTTAAAATATACTTTATTTGTATACTCTATGTTTAAATTTTTTATATCTTTTTAGCACTACAGGGGCAGTTTAAAAAGCTTGAATACTGGCATAGTAACGCTCTTAAATTATGGAAAATATGTTCCTCCTATTGTTTCTCATGTCACTCTAGCTCATGAAATTGGACATAATTTTGGATCACCGGTAGGTAATAAATTACACTACTAATATTTTTACAGAGTTTTCAAATAAATAGCATAAAATATGTGCATAGCATACATTGCTATGCAATAATTTATACAAATGTATTATTCCTTATTTTAACATAAAAGAACATTTGTGTTAAAAGAGTTCTTCTGTTATATAGAAATATAGGAAAAATGTCTAAAGAAAAACAATTTTCTTTTAAAAATGTTGACACATCTTTTATTGTAACATTTTGACACATCTTTTAACATAAAATTTTACACTATTTGCTTCTACTTAATATTATTATTTGTTTTCTCATTTAAATTTTTGTCCGTCTTTGATTCCAAAAGTTATTTATGATTTATTGACTTAGCATCTTATTTCTTAAAATTATAATTCAACGATTCATTTGAGAAAAAAACTTTTATAATATTTTATTGTGACAACATCCTGTATTATACAAGATTTTTGTCATGATGAAAGATTTAAAATAAATTTCTCCATGAAGTTCAAAATAACTGTGTGTATGAAAAGAATTTAATTGTGCACTGTAAAAAAGGGTTTCTGAAGATTGAGCCAAAATGTGTCAAAAAAGTTCAAAAACAAATAATAGTCGAATTCAGAAACCCCATGTATTCAAAAATTAAAACAGCATATACTCACTTTTTAGCAAAAAGCATGAGAAGGGAGATATGTGTGAAAGTGTATTAGCTGTTTGTAGGATTCAAACCAAAGACCTCCCAGTTCATACCATGATGCTCTAATTACTATTGAAGGGAGTTAGGAATCTTTATATAGTGGCTGCGCAATGACATATTATTTCCCTATTTCAAGGATACAAAGAATTGCAATCTGAAAATATACTCATAGTAGCTTAGTCTAGAGTGATAATTTTAATTTCCCTTTTTTCTTAGTTTGCTATATCCTAACATTTAAGCAAATGGAATATATGAAGCTTTCTAACTCTTCCTGGACTGGGTTGAACTACTACAGTGGTTACAGCATCTTTCTACAGCTCGAAGATCTTTGGTTCGAGTAATGCCGGCAGTCAATGAACTTCTCTCTCACACATTTTTCCCTTCACATCACTTTGGGGACTATGCATTTTGCTCAAAAATGTGTATCTGTTGTTTTATGCAATTACTATGCATTTTATATTTCTAATGTAAGAAAAATAAATTTTTAAAAGTATACACTTTACAGATTAAGGATGACAAATTTAATAAGGACAAAGCAAAAAGAATTTTCTTAATCTGATAAATCACTATTAAGGAAGGCAGAATTAAAACATCACAATTTGGCAAACTTGATTAATTGTTATTGTGTTTCTAATAATAGCCTTTCAAAATCTTTCAGTTCCTTTTATAATCAATCTGGATACAGGTTTTTAAATATGACTTTCTCATGAATGCTTTGTCAAATGTTGATAATTTTTTTCTTTCAAATATCAGTTTTTGGAGCTGATTTGTTTCCGCCTTTAGCACTGCAAAAGGTACATTTCATAAATTAAAAATTTGGCAGACATACATCAAAAGTTTAACCCCATCAACAATTTTCTTAACGCTTAAATAGAAAAACGAGTGTTCTTCATCAAACATTAACCCATTTCTTTTTTAAAATGGGAATTCTAAAGTGTTTAAACAAGTTCTTGTTTTCTACTTTAATTAGCATGATCCTGAAGATGATGTTGTATGCACTCCAGGAGGTGATAATGGAAATTACATCATGTTTGCCCGTGCAACATCTGGTGACAAAAGAAACAATAACAAATTTTCACCTTGTAGTGTCCGTAGCATCAATGCTGTACTTAACACAAAAGCCAGAAGTCTAAAGGGTTGTTTCACAGGTATATTTCAATTGACATTTATTTACTCATAATTGAAATTGAGTAACTTATTGGATGAATCTAATTAGTGACATTTAGAAAACTCAATAAGTTCCAAGTTTAAAAACAATTTTAGTCAGTTTAGGTATAGAATATTAATTTATATGATCTAGTCTTTAAAAGGGCAGCTTTTTATTTATTAACAAACATCATATTTCTACACATAAAACCAATTTCCATAACTTCTTTAGAATGTCATTTAAAATGTTCCTCCACTATATTCTTCTATGAGCCCTTCAAGTGTTTAGCTCTTGGGGAAAAACTGCACAAAAATTTTCCAGCTATACACAGTGGCATAGTTTTGAGAGGGTTTGTGGGACAAGACCCCTTCCAAAATCATATATATTACTTGATTAATGGACTATTTTCTTGTAAGTAGGATGCAGACATAAAAAAGTTTTCATTATTAATTTTTTTGTTATTTAAACGTTTAGAATATATATATTAGAATATATATATTAGAAGCAGATAGAGCCCGGTTAGCCTGGTTGGCAGGGTACTGGGGGCTCACGTTAATGAGATCGGGAGTTCGGCTTCAGCCGGCCGTAAACTCTCTGCATTAATAGTGACTGGTGCACGTTAAATCTGTTGGGTCACAATGTCCACCATGTTCCTCTAACAAATAATACCTCTAGGGGTATTGAATTGGAGATTGATCATTCTCTGGTTCAGGTTAAAATTACTATCTGTGGATGAATGAATGGGTCCGCCCTATAAACGGGTTTGACGTATGGGTGTGGCAGAAGTTGAATTCTTGGCCATAGATGGCGCCAAATGAGAACAAAAGCAATCTCACCCCATCTGTCTTAATAGCCGACGACTACAACAGAAGATTGAACCAATAACTCCCCTCGATCATACATTAAAACTATGCCTCTTGTTATACGCTTACTTTCTCATTGAATAACTTCAGGAAAACGTTTTTTTAGGTGCAAGAAAACTAAAAGGAACCATACAACTTTTTGGGCCACGATAGCACGGCAGTGAAAAGATTCTTATAAATTAATTTTTTTAACTGTACTTGTTCTGACTGCAATGGTATTGAATTTTTATGTCAGTTCTTAATAGAGTTGTTTGAAAACTGAAAAATAGATTCTGGAAATAATGTCAATTACAGTCATGAGAACTTAAAGCAATCTGTAATATGTTATGACTTAGCTCTCTTTGGGAATAAGGAAGGCTAAAATTTAAAATTTTTTAAATTTATATACATATTTATAAGTTAGCTCAAGTTTTTAACTCCATAGCTTTGCGTATTCATTATCTAAAAGTGATTCTAATGGAATAGATTATTTTCTTTCTAAATAAAATGAGTTATTAAAACTGTTACCACTCAAAATAGAATGCAACAGTTAATATTAAATACATATTAAATGTTAAAGAATTTGAACAAACACAAATGAAAAGTACTCTGTAAGAAACCACTTTAGTATGGTGGAGTAAAAAAATCCACAATTTTAAGCTTATTTAATGTCAAAAACAACTTAAAATTAAAATCAAATAAGTATGATGCAGAATATAATTCTTAGCACATTAATTGATAAAAATTTAGACATTGCAAAATTAAAATAGAGCTGAAGGCAGAATAATATGAGATGAAGTAAGTGTAAGATGAAGCAATGTCTAAAACTATATTGAATGCAAAACCGACTGCCTGGAGCACCAGGTTAGAGGGGCATGGAGCGAAACTCAGATTTAATGTTTTCTAAATTATGAATTTTTTTAAAAATATTATTTGCATTGAAAAATATAGTTAGGGAATAGAATTTTTTTAACTATAAATTCTTTGGTTAATTTTCTTTATAATTATAGTTCTTTACGTAAAAGTTTTACTAAAGATAGAAAGAAAAATGTGCAACAGAAAAGCCACTTTTTTAACATATGAGTTCCACAATTTCTTTTATGATCTCTTCTCTTAATTAAAAAGCAAGGGTTCAGGGGGAATTGCTTTAAGTTTCATGTTTAAGATTATCAATGCTTTAAGATCAGGTAATAGGCATATTAACGGCAGTGAATTTCTATATGGACAAGTGAATGAGTTTATTAATTTATAAAGATGTTTGTAAACCTACAAATTGTGTTATGCCAGTCGGCGACAACAATATTTTTTTTCATAAAATAATCTTCTACATAAGTGCAATATATTAAAAGTAAAATACGATTGAAATATCATTTAAATACGTACAGCGTGCAAAATCATATACAGATCATTCTGAATAACTTTTGATCCAATGATCGAATCTTCACGTTCCAGAACTCAAACCTTATTGGTTCAAGAGGGTAACCTCAAATATGCTAATTAATTGGTGCAGAAATAATTTGAAGTTATGAAATAAACATTGAGCTAAATTTTTTGCTTTAAAATGTATTGTTTACTATTTTAAATCTGTTTATTCTTTTAACTAAGCAAAATTTATCATCATTTAACTTCGTTTTGTTGTGGAAAAAATACCCTTCAGTTTGGAATTCATTGGCTTTATAATTAATAATTGTAAATAAGTGCAGAGTTTGATTTTGACAAGTTTGTGTTATTAACCTTGAAGACATTATTTATTTTGCTCATATGTTTATCCATATGCATGTATATGCAAACCAACATTTAGGGTTTATCTATATTTTGTAATTTTCTGGTAGAAATAATGTAATTTAAAATATAAAAAGCAATTTTCTACAGCGTTGTGACTACACCAGCTAGGTAATTCAAAGAAAAAAGCTCTTATTTTTTTTCTTATTAATTCATCTTCTAAAGTTCTTATTAATTCATCTTCTTTTCCCACAATTAAGTTAAGGGCGCTGTTTTCAGCGTCACCCGGTGTACGAAAACGTCTTCCGCCAGCACTGATTGAATGACAGCACTAGTTTGAGATTTTTTTTTTTAATTTGAACTGACGAAATTTCCTTCCTCTCAGTTGGATAATTTCCTTAATATTCTTCCTGATCATCTAAAGAATGCTATTGAAATCACTGTAAACACCTTCTTGCATTTTTAAACTTAATTATGTGGCAGAGCATACATTTTGTACATAGTTAATAGCATATTTGCTCAGCTTTCCTAGAAGTTAAAATTTTGACTATAAAAATATTTGTAATTATTTTGTAGAAAGTCAAGATTTTGTGTGACACAGTTAATATTGTTCTTGTGCATATGTTTTGTACACAAATGATAGTAAATTTGATTTGTATCCTTGAATGTTAACAGCTTAATTGTAAAAATATTTGTGATTATTCTGTAGAAATTCAAGATTCCATATGTGGAAATGGTGTTGTTGAAAAAAGTGAGCAGTGTGATTGCGGATGGGAAGAAGATTGTGAGGAAAGTTGTTGTTTTCCTATGAGGACTAATCCTCCTAGAGATGAGCCTCCTTGTATGCTTAGACCTAATGTTATTTGCAGGTAAAACTTTGATTTACATAGTATTTTTATGATGAAATAAAGTAAAGGTTGTATATAACTTGATTGTATCAGTTGTGTTTAATACATCATATATTGCTTTTACAATTAGCATATAGTTCTGCACAAATACCTTTTATTGCAAAACGTGTGTAGAGAGCCGTTTTTACGTTTTCATGGACCCTTTATGAGTAATTTTAGAGGAAACATTTTTTTAATTTGAATAATTTTTAAAAAGTATTTTATAATAAGAATGAAAAACAAATGCATTATTTTAAAAGCTTTAATAAATTATTTCTATAGAAAGTTTAAGGTATCAATACTTTTAATATTTTTTGAAGGGTGAAGTTTTCAGTCACATCATTAAAATCAATTTCCTGCAAGACATCATATTCAATGCTCATGCTTGGCAAATGACTCACATTCTTTCTTGAGCCATACTATGTCTTAGTTCATTTTTTGATTAATTTTAGTGTGGTGAGTGAATGTTTGCTACTACAATTAGTTATCATTAGTAACAAAAAAATCAAAATGAAATGTCAATGTTTGGAAATGTATCTTTGAGATTGTTGTTTTTCACTATTTAATACATATCATCTATGTCTAATTGGTGTAACTTATTCTCTTTGGTCAAATAATGCTTGAAATGTTCTAATTCTAGCACTAATTTTTTTTCATCCATATCATTGGTATAGAATCTTCAAGAATCATCACTGTAAAGCATTAATTCCTTGGACTTTAAAAATTAAATTTGACAAAAAACTGCACAAATCATTTATTGGTTTTATGCGCCATTGAGCGAGATTTGAATTGACTAATCCATGTGTCAATTTCTGAGACATAAACCTCAACTAAAATCTTCTCTACTTTGTAATGTAACATATTCTGCATCTTCATCATAAAATGTCGAAGATCTATGCGACTTCTCATCTATATATCTAAAATTAGGTAAATTTTCCTTTGAAATCGTTTCATAAGTAAAGAACTTTCCTCTGTTCTCTCACAAAAGCAATCAAGGATTCAATCAATTTCAGACCATCATCAAGCCCCTTCTTCTGATCCTCCATGGAGGAATTCCCATCAAGGAAGCCACTTCTTCTGTATGCTTATTGAAGTCTGATTTTTTCTTGATAACATGTCACCCCAAAATTTTGTCAACACAATATTTTTCAATTTCTTTAGAAGGTATCCAGTCTAGTTTCGAGAAACACTTTTTTGTTCTTTTCCAAAGTCTGAAGAAGGGCCATAATTTTACCGTAATTTTTTTTGCAGTGCCGTTACTGCTCCTGAATGATCAGACCTCCTTGTATCCGATGGACGTATTACGACTAGCATCCTCTTAAGGTGTTTTACCAATGGATGGTAGAACTGGCTAAAAAGGGTTACGTTTCTGTAAAAATTGGATATAATCCTCTAACACGTGTCCCACAGCTAGCTCACCAATTAAATTTAAGCTATGTGCTAGGTAGGCATGATACAAAAAAGGCAGTTTGATATTTTTCTTTTAACCTTGCTTGTAAACCTGAATAGTTACCTGCCATATTTGGTACGCTATCATACGTTTGTCCTTGACAATCACTTATATTTATGCCTTTGTCATTGGGAAACTGTCATTAATGACTTTTGATTTTTGACTCTTGGGGGCCCCATCAGAACTCAGAGCCCTGGGTTTGGGCCAACTGGGCTTTTCCTTATAAACGACTCTGCATGTGTAGTTGATTTGGTATTTAAATATTTGGCACAATTAAAGCACATGCTGATATAAGCCTGTAAATGTCAGCTCGATGCAGTTGAGAAAATCAACTTCAAAATATGCGGGAAAATCAGGAAGCTGTTAAGTAAAATTCGTTTTGCATCTAAAACAACCTTATTTAAAGATTTGAATAGTTAAATTGTTGTTCTATCCTTGCAATCTACTATAGAATACTTTTAAGCTCTACAAACTGAATATTTTGAACAGCTATTACAAATCGTGTTATTTTGCTAAATGTTTCCAATCTTTTATTCTCATAGTAAAAATTTAACTTATTATTTTTTCTATTTTATTTTTCTGGTTTTTATATTAAATTAAATTATAATGTCCCTTTGAAGAACACTGATTAAAATTTTTTTTTAGGTTTTTCACCAAAATTGGTATAAATTTGATGGAGCAGGATTCTTTTTTTTTATGTATGATATGACATTTCTTGATGAACTAGTTGTTCAAGAGTGTATTGCATTAATTATTACTAGTTAATATTTTATTAAAATTTGTTTTCTATTTTAGCCCCAGCCAGGGACCATGTTGTTCTCATGATTGTAGTTTAAAAATAGGAGAAGAATGCAGAGGAGATAATGGCTGTAGAAGTCCTAGTTATTGCGAATATCCTTTTAAAGAATATTTTGTTTAAATTGAGGGAGTTTTTACAAACCTTTTTATTAAATGCTCTAGATAGTGTAAATAAATATCTCCAATTGGATGCTCATGCCTTTTCTTGAGATTTTTATTCAAAATACTTTAATAGACAAAGGAGAAAATTTCTCATTTTAACCCTCCGCGTACGGCTCCCGCGACTTGAGCGGGATATCTGTTTTGTCCCCACTACGGGTCACGTTAAAATCGCGAGCGAAGAAATTTTCCCCCTGATTTCAATACGGATCCCGTCATTTCCCCATGTACGACCATCATCCAAAACCATCATCTGAAGCTTATTTTCGCTACTAGGTGGCACTAGAGGGTTCGGGAATTTCGCAAATTATATAGAAAAATTACTTAAAATGAAAAATACTAAACTAAAAGTAACTTAAAAATCACCCCGTATTTCAGTACCGGAAAGTATAAAAACTGAGCCGACCGCGGAGGGTCAAGTGTTTAAAAAAAATCAAAATGTTGTAGATATTTCTTAGTCACCACCATTAATATATATTTTTAGAATAATTGTTAAAAATGAAGCCAAATACTATGTATTTTTCTTAGGGTTCATAAATTTATCTTTATGCGAGAAACAAAAAGAAAACTGGAGGGTGGATCATAAATTTATAATTAAGATTTTATTTCATAATTAAGAACCTAACCTCTTGAAGTATTAATAGGGCAGATGAGATTAAATACATCAAAACGTGGTTGATTGCTTAATGAATTCAAACAGGTTTTAATTAATTTGATGTATCTACTAATACCTTCGATTTTACCGAGAAATCTATCAATTTTGACATTTTTAATCTTATCTTCTATATTAGTGATTCATCAGAGTTTGACAATGTTTTTATTTTCACCTTGCTTAAATATCAATTTGCAAAGTGTCTACGTCTTTACTTTATTTTTAACATGCATTTCAAAGATACATAAGTAGTTGCCTTAATTACAAAACATTCTGGTAATATATTCTACATTTTTTTTGATCAAATATGCATATGTATTTATTTTTTCTTTAATATTGTAGTTATATATATATATATATCGGGCTTGGTCTAGAAATATGGTGGCCCTAGGCACAGTGCTGTCAAGAGTTCCCTGGTTATTACTTTAAACTAAATTTACATGTTTAATTATAAAGTGTTTCTAAATTAGTTATAATACAAGCAAATTACGATATATTAGTAAGCTTGAGCTCATATTTGTCGCAATTTCTGCAAACTCATAACTCTAATAGACAATTCTTAAAGAAAAACACAAAAAGGAATTATTTGTAACATTTAGGGGGCCCTAAGCCTGGGCCTCTTTGGCATATATATATATATATTTTGTTATTATATTAAGTTTTACAATAAAAGGGTAATGAATGAGAACACAATTAATGCAGTTAATTATATTATTTGAACTCAATGTTAGACATCGTTTTACTCTATTTAAAAATGCTGCACAACGTACCCTTTAATTCTTTTAGTAAAATTTCATTGTTTTGTTTTCATTAATTAACACAAAAACTTGTATCCATTTCTGTGTCGTTTATTCCCAATTATAATCAGATTAAATATTTAATCACCTCAGTCACTAACTATTGGGTTAAAAGATTATTCAATTCAGTTATTAACTATTGAATAAAATTTTTAAATAAAAGCTTTAATTCTTGTGTTTTATCTTGTTGTTATAGTCACTGAATTGCGATGAAAACATTTCATTTAACTTTCCTTAATTATTTTTACTGGCAAAGGTCCTCAATGTCCTCCTTCTACAAACAAACCTAATAAAACAGTGTGCAATGAAGAGTTTGTTTGTTACATGGGAGTAAGTGATAATCATTTATAACAAATTTATTAAACAAATCATGTCTGTCTAAGCATAATAGTTTTAATTTTATTTTCAAGGAATGTACAGGATCAATATGTGTTGCTTATGGATTAGAATCCTGTCAATGTCGCCGAGGTCCGCGTGATCCTGCAACCAAAGCATGTGAATTATGTTGCAAATTACCAGGAGATGATTATAGTTGCAAGTAAGCAAAAGGGGTGATTTCAAACAATTTTTTTTTTGGAAAATTGAGTTTTTCTTCAAATTTCTATGTAAGATCATTTCAATATAAATTTAAATTCATATAAATGTTAAATGAATGGTGTGTTCTGTATCATTATACATATAGAGATAAAAGAAGCCTTTGCCAATTTTTTCTGACATTCTCTCAAGACTGATTTTTTGTTCCTGATGGGCTTGATAAATTTTGTTTTACATATGATGTATCTTAAACTAACTTTTTATCTTCCTTTCACAATTTGGAAAATTGTAAATGCATCTAAATGTAAATATTTTGTCAAAAACTTCCATTTTTTATTGTATACAATATTATAATTTAAAAAAAAAAAAAAAAACTTAGCTTCACCTTTGATAATAAAATTTTAAACAATATAGGCGCTAAGAGTTGAAAAACTCAATGAACCTATTTATGACTAATATGTTTGTTATTGACAGCTTAATTTCATTTATCGTAGCAATAATTTTAAATTCATAGAGGCATTCTAGAGAAAGTAAAGAAATCATGTAAGAATTTAATGTACACAATAAATAGGAAATTGTAATTCTAAAAGTTTAAGCTGGCTCCCTTTCAATTTCTTAAGACATTAAATTAATCAGAAATTTATGATTTGTATTTAATCAATATCAAAACTATCTGCATCAAAGGATATCTCCAAAATTTTCATGTTTTAGAATTATTGACATGAAAGTTAACTAGTAGCTTTCTAGGAAGAGAAATTTTGCTAAATCAAATTTTTCTTAGAATACTCTTATTATGATTTTATTTGAAAAAATTATTTTCATAAATTAAGAAAAAATTGCAAATGTTGCTAGAATTTTAGCAGTATAGATAAACAATTTATACTGATAAGCTCAGAGGGAAAAAAAAGTCTTATATCAACTAATTGATCAAATAAAATAGAGTCTTACGTAATAAATTTATGATACGATAACTGATTTTTATTTATGTGTGATACAAGGTCTATAAAAACGTGGCAATAATAAAAAAAAGTAAAACCTGGTAGCTTGTTATGAGTGATGTAGCTTCACATATTTATTTTATTGTTTGTACTTTCATAGAAGCAATAAGCAATTTTTTCTCTTTATTCTAATTTTATTTATCCCACCTCACACTGTACTTTATATGTTATTATGGCTTAATTATAAAATTTCATTCTTCTTTTGTGCATAATTTTTGGGTTAAATTTTATACATTCTTGTTTTGACAAATGCTGTTATAAGTATTGAACATTATATATTTTGCTTTTTTAGATCTTCGTTTGATTGGAATTTTGCCCCATATGATGTTCCTGATCTTTATGCCAAACCTGGAACACCTTGTGATAATTACAATGGATATTGTGATGTCTTTCAAAAGTGCAGAGAAGTAAAAAATAAATTTTTACTTATAGCAGATTTAGTTTACTTTCAATTGGCTTATATTCATTTAAATCCATGAATTTAAATATTTCTTAAAGTTAAGTCATGTAAGCATGTTTTAGTAGTTACTTTCAATACATTTCTATCTACTGCTGATTTTTCCCACTTTCAGTAGGTTAAGGTTTTATTTACTATTTTACACACAGTTTGATGTGCAATTTTTTGTCTGATTTTTTTACAAGAAAAAGTTAACTTCTTAAAATTCATATTCCACCTGCAATTTTCTTTTCATGGCAGTTAAATTTTTTTTTTGTTTATGTTATAGTATACAGAAAAATTGTACATTGGGAAAAAATATTTTATTTATTTTCCAAAAGTAGCATTAAATAAAATATAAACTTATTTCGAATGAGGACGCCTTGTTTTATTTATGAATTTTTTTAAAAATTAATAAATAAATTCTATGTTCTAATTTTTTTTCACAACTTCTTCTAAATTGCATACTTGAACTATGAAATGAGTTCACCAGCATAAGATGTTTTGTTTCATTATAGTATCACTATTTTTAACAAATTTCTTACATGGGAGTTTTTTATTATTTATTTAATTTTTCAAAAACCTGATGAGAGAAGTTAAGATAGTAGTTGTAAGTACTTATGACATGGCTGTTCTGCCATGCTTGATTTTGCCTGTAAGCCTATTTTTGAAGAACAATTTTTTGCTGTGAATAGAGAAAGCAAATTTCTTCACTAAAACCAAACAAAGGTTATGGCCAGTATACAATCTAACTCATATATTGGAGTGAATGATTTCTGTAGGCAATAACTAGGTGTATTTTTTAGACTAATTTAGAAATTCTGTAGGAAAGCTTTTAAAAATATTAAAGCGGATCTTTTAATTTATCGGAGAAGACTTACTGCTATCATTTTTTATTTCCTGCTTTTGGATTCAAGACACATGATTTGTAAAGTCGAAGTATGAAAACTTACATGAACTAAATATCTCTAAAGCTACAAAATAATCCTCTAAATATTTTTTAAGATCTTTAAAAATGCATAAACTGAAAGTTTCTAGTCCATTATTGTTGGGTAGTGTATTTATGTTAACCAAATTAAAGAGTAAAAAAAATTACCTAGCTTAATATTAACCATTTCCATTATCATTAAAATATTTTTTATTGAAAAATACTTAAACATGATATTACAATTATTTTTAGTAGCCTGGAGTAAGACAATTTGTTTACTTGAAATTAAATGGAAATACTTATAATCTCTATACATTAGATCTTTTATTTTACTGTTAACAATAATGTATAGAATTTCCAGGTTGATCCATCTGGTCCTCTTGCAACTCTAAGAAAACTGTTTTTGTCTAATGAAAGCATGGCATCTGTTAAAAGATGGATTTTACTGCATTGGTGGGTTGTTTTATTACTGGTTATCCTCATTATTATGTTTATGGTAAGTAATTCTCCATTTTATATTGATTTTAAATTCTAAGCTACAAATGAGGGTTACATATCTCTCTTGAATACTAGTTTTTAGTAAACTAAGAATCAAAATTCTTCTCTTGTAAATTTATACGCTGTTACTAAATAAATTTTTATAGCAGTAAAAGCATAATTGTAAACTATTTATTTACTAGGCTTTGCCTTATTCTTTTTTTTTCTTTGATAACACTTTTTTTAACTAATCTATCACTTAGTTCTTAGGCACTATCAATAAATTACCTATTCAAAATTTTATTTTCATTGAAAACACAAAGAGCAACTAACAAAATCTACTATACTTAGAAAGGAACATTCTAAAAGTATGTTAATTTTAGTAATTACTGAAGCTACAGAAAAGATTTAAAATAATATGCATATTTAATGCTAGTTTTCAAAGATCACAGGGAGTTCATGTTTTAGTTTCAAAGATCACAAGTTCATGTTTTAGTTTATTTCTAAAATCCAATAGACTAGGATAAGTTTATTTTTCTAAAGGCTTCCAAGATCCCTTAAATTTAAATGATTAAATTAATATCAAATGTCACATATTAATGCAAAGTGAATTTGTCGAACTCTGACACAGTTTTTGATATAAATCTTTAAATTCTCACTAGAGTTATTGTGTTACATTTAATTTTGTCACAAATTGTCAAAATATTCCTGATGTGTTGAAAATCAGTTCTAGAGAATATAAAAATTATGATATTTAAATAATTTATTTGTAATATCTATTACAGTATCAAGGCTTTAAATTGGGATTTAATGAATTTTTGATGCGTTCATAGTTTATATTAAAATTATGAAAACAGAGCAGGAATTTTTCTTTAACCTGTTTAATAGTATTAAAACTATCAATTACCCTTTATTATTTTGATAGACAACACCATAATTTCTCAATTTTGTTGCATAAAGTTTATAGCTAAGGTAGGAAACTGAAGCCCCCTAACCAGAAATGAAAATTTACATATGAATGTCTATCTTTAAATTTAAGTGAAAAATAGTATTAATGAAATGAAATTAATTTTTTTCCTTTCTGGAAAAAATTTTTTTTGCCTGAAATAAATTTGATGCAAAAACTTTGCCAAAATATGCAGGGCAAGCATTGCAAGAATTAAAAAATATATTTTGTCTAGTACTCAAATACTGTTTCAAATATCTGCTATGGTATTTTTTTCTGAATATATTTGATCCAAAAGTTTTGCCAAAATTTGCAGTAGATAAAAATTGAAAGTAATTAATTTGAAGAGACAAGTAAAAACCTTTTTACAATTATCAAAATTCTGCTTGTACTCTTTTTGTTTTTCCTGTGTCTATCACTACTAGAGAGTGAACATTCTCAATTCTTAAAAGGTTGTAAACTTATTTAAAAAAATAGTACTGGGGATGATTGTTTATAGAGTTCAACACACATGTCTTTCCATTTAAACATTTCTTGTTTAGATGGACATTTGCTGTTGCTATCTCAATATTAAATTTATGAAATTTTTATTTTTATGTAATACTCATGACAACTTTTTTCCTCTTTTTTCTCTTAGATTTTATTTAGAACAATCCTCAATCGAACTGTATCTTCAGAAATCTTTATTTTTAGAACTGTTAATTATTGAACTGATTTGATACTTTGAACTGATTAAATGATACAAAAAAGTTCATTAATATTAATGCAAGTCATTTTGTTAAATTTTCAGATTATTATCGTTCGTCTGTTTGGAAAACAAAGTGATCCCGTGAAATCAGTGTCTGAGAATGGCCAAGTGAACAAATCTATAAGTCTTTTACGTCCTTGCAGTAATCAACCTTTAGTGAAAGCCCGAACTCAGGCCTTGGCAGCAAGTTCCAGTATTGCCTTGGCACATGCCTCCAATCATCAGAAATCAACAAGTAATTTTGTCAGGACTAGTGTTTCATCTTTCACTCAAAAGCATCGACCTTTACTAATGACCGGAAATGGTTGGGTATGACAATGAGTAAAAGACTTAGTTTGCATAATTTATGTATGTACCAAATGTGCACCCTGGTCAGAAATACAGTTTATGATTAACTCGCTCAAATTTTATGTAACATAAGTGATAAAAATTAATTTTGTAATTTTATAACTTGTAAAATTTAAATGAAATGTAACTAATGCTGTCTATTGAATAGCTCTTAATGAGAATTTAAAAATAAGTTAAATTCAAAATTCTATTAGCAGTCTTCATTTTATTCTGCATTTACAAATAGCCATGTTTTGTTCAATTGATGAACAATGTTTTTAGGTTTAAAATTTTTTATTTGCACTTCAACGTTTTGAGAAGCTGTGGAATTAAGCAAGTCCCACCTATTTATGACATTATACAAAAACTGTAAAAATACTTTTCTTCATTTATTTCATTTTTCATTAATGCATTTTTCATCATTTCATTAATTTCATTCATTTTCATTAAGTAAGTAAACACTAAGTACATAATGATCAAAATCAAAAAGTTAATAAATTAATTGTAATTAAAAATTTAAAGAATCTTTATGTATACTTATTAATAAAAGAAAATATTTTCTTTATTATTAAGTATACGTAAAAGTTAACAACTACATTTTGTTTTAAAGACAATGATTTGTGTCTGTAAATTTTTTCGTTTTATATATTGTGTATAAAAATCATTTAGACGTTATCTTTTATTAGGTACAGTTTGTAAAATACTGAGTGGTACAAATTTATCTTTTCAATTTTGCTCCTAGTAACACATGAAATAAAGAAAATGGTTAAGTTCTGTTACTTAATCATATCTCAACAGAAAAAAATTTTTGTTCACCTCATTATATATTATTTGCACTTATAATATGGCAATAATTTAATTCTACATAGGAATGCTCTTCTTTAACTTAACCTACTGCTTGTTATTTGAGGTACTGTTTGCAAACTCAGTTGTGACTCTTGTCTTTATCTAGGTGAAGTGGGAGTAAGCTTGTCAGCTCCGACCCACAATGCTTATAAGCTATTACTCCAAAAACCTTCTTTTTGAACTTAATTAAGTTTAATTTTTGATCTATGCAAACAGCAGTTATCTTACCCAAGTAAAACAAAATTCTGAAACATTGTTGAAGCTTGAGCTAACATTTTCAAAAGTCAGATTTATTTCTGACCAGGTATGCCAAATATGCTGATCACTTTATGTAATTTTGTGTAAATGTACCACAAAATTTGCGTTTATAAATTTGCCATACTTTATGTGGCTGCATATTTTGTATGATATTACTTGTATCAATGCAATTATTGTTGAAATATGAATCTCCTTTTTTAAAAACTAAGCTGTTTGATGAGAAAATTAGGTTTAGTAGCTAAGAGATTACTTCTCTCAAGTAATCTTCATTTATATCTTCATTAAAATGTTTTACAAATTCTTCTAAGAGCTTTATCTTGTTGTTTTTTTTGAGGATAGTACTTAAATGTTTTTTTTATTTTTAATGGCAGAATGAAATTTTTTCTATGAAAATAATTGTATTATAGAGATTTCAATACAATTAAAAAGCAAATAAATAAATTCTAAACAGATTTTATATTACAAACTTCTGAATCTTTAGTATTTATTTATTTATTTATTATAAAATTAAATGTTCTGAATCAAGTCTAGATTCACTGAATATTAAGAGTTTCATTCTTGTGAAGTTATAAATAAAATGCAACATTAAATTTCAGAAATCATCAAATTTCAAGGATGATTAATAAGGCTATTTGAATTTTAATTGTGCCAATTGAAAATATATGCATTTTAAGTAAATTTTGAACTGAAACAGACAGTTTTTTTTCATGTTTAATTGTTTTTTATCTGCTGGCAGAGATAATAAAATGATATAGAATTGCATTATTAGGAAAATTTTTCATCTCTTACGAAATTTTCTAAAAAAAATTCTTATAAAAAGCTATTATTATCTTTATGTTGTTAAAATTTTTTAAACTTAAGTACTAGGCTTCGTATAAAAGTGAGAAAATAATTATTGACGTTATTTTATGTGTAATCTATCTTCAATGTATTCATTTTCTGCACTGATAATTTAATTTATAATGAATTCTGATTGGTGTATGAATTATTTTATGAGTCTACATATAAATGTATTTGGGGGAAATGAATGATAGTATTTAAAATTTTGTTTTTTAAAATATAGTGTCTAATGTATGTTAATTATTTTCTGTATTTGAAATTTAGTTTAATTACTGTATTTGAAATTTAGTATTAATCCTTTTTGGAAATCCTTTATACAAAGATAAATCATAAATAAAATCAGATTTGCATTTTCACTCAAATAAACAAAAATTGCTTTTATCTGATGTTAAATTTCAAGTGATGTTTAAACATCTTAATCCCATTCAGTCAAGTATCTCTAAACGAGTTCTTTGCATGCATGAATGTACTAGTTACTTTTGAACATCATTCAGTAACTTTCTCTGTTGCTAGTTCTCCCACTCTTATATCTTGTGTAACTTGCTTTGTACTACAGTGACAGCTTAATCAGGTGTCCTTCAATTATGAACCATAATTTTTATTTAAAAATAATTATTTTTACAATAGAAAGAAAGCACTAGTCTCCTCAAATGGTCCCTCAGTGAGTGGTTTGTTTAGTCTAATGTAACGTCATCCGTTTCTTAAACCCTTTTACTCTGTGTCTCTATATTGAATAGAACAATAATGGAATTACTCCAAGTTAACAATAGGAAGACACATACACAATATTTGTTTATTCTTGTGAAAACATAAAATTATCTACTCTTGCTGATATAACTGTGTGTATTTTTCTGTTAACATTTATTCTTAAAAAAAATTACATTCCCTAATTGTAGTAAATAATTAATAAAACAAAGTTCCTTGTCCAGCTTTTGGATCTGTATTTTGCATTAATTAATACTTGTTTTATTATCTGAAATCCGATGAATTAGTCTTTTATAACTTACTTTCTAGATGTAATTGCTTGTTTTTATGTAGGTGCTATTTTACTTTCTCTTCCTATTTATGTAATATATCACCACATTTATGTATTAAAAATGCCCTTTATGTATGTCACATATTTACTGTTTATTGGAGCTAAACAAAGAAGTTACTTATGCTTCAGATATCCTGAAAACTACAAAAGTTAGTTACTAATAGAATGTTTACACTGTTAATATGATTTTTTCCTACAGCTCATCAAAAGTCAGTCAGTTTTACATTTTGTTCACATAATTTGTAGGTTTTATCAAAAGGATTGCTGTTAGGCTGACCATGTGTGTTAAGGGTGTAAAAGCAAAATTTTAAAAACCTTTTCAATAGATGAACGATTAAATGGAAATGATTGGAGATTCAATATGATAATTAAAATAATTTTTATTGCTATTCTATTGATGTATTCTATGTTTATGATATTTCAAAAATGATCATATTTTTTTTTTAAATTTCTTTTGAATATTTAGAGTACACAATTAAAGGCATGGTAGACTAAATTTTAATTGTTAGTTATACAGTCAAACCTTCATGTTCACATCATAGTGAACCTTTAAGGGACCGAAATTTTAGTCCACTATAACCGGGACTTCAATATATCCGTTCCTCAAACAATTTTAATTAATCTTTCCAAACTCCCCCCCCACACTTTTATTGCACGTTATTTAAATAAGTCACCAATAAAATGAAATACAAAAATGACTGAAAAATATTACGTAGTAACAAAAATGTGTTAACTTTTATTTTTTATTGCTCTCCGCCTTGCGTACAAAAAAATTAGTAATCTTAAGCTGATGCGCAATCCTCAACATCAGATATGGAAACACTTCCCCACTGTCCGATAAATTTTCCTAAATTTATGTTATTCCAGTTTTTAAACCTGTTTAACCATCCATTTGAGCACATAAAAGTAATCTCACCAAATCACTTAGCAGAAATTTATCTGCTTTGACTTAAAGCATTTGTACAGATACTGGAAGATTGCGGCTTCTTTGAATGCTGAACCAATTCAATAATGCTATCAATAAATAAGCAACCAAGAAAAATGCTTATTGCTACATTCCATGTTATGGATGGTTTTAAAAATCGGCATATGTATTTATTTTGAAGTAGAAATTTCAAAATTATTACAAAAGAATGAAAATAAATCAGTCGAAGACAGAAAAAAGTTCATAATATCCAAATTCCTCTCTTGTTTTGGTTCACTATATCCACAAAAAGCAAGATTATACGTGTGTAGCAAGGCACGGGAGTGAACATTTCGCTCATTATATTTGGGAGTTCACTATAATATAATATTGCAATTAATTCCTTACATCTTGCATGGGTGATCTATTGATTTTGAGTTCTAACCATCAGTAAACCATAATACACTATTTAAATTTAATGTGACACTGCCTCTCAGACTACTAACAATATATTTTTCTTTCTAAATTAGAATTTGGATAATCCCATGAAAAAGACAGTTCCTTCATAGAATGTATTGAATTTTTAAAAAGAAAATATGTATAGCACTATTTTTGTTTTAAAATATAGCTATGTTTTTTTATATGTATAATTTAAGTTCTTTTGAAATTAACATTTCTATTTTTCAGTTTGTTATTAATCAAAGATGTTATGGAGTATCTCTGTTTTTTGTAGTAGAGGCTTGTTTTATATTCAAACATAGTGTTGTGTTTTTGAAATTTCTATTGCATTCATGCTATTAGTGAGTCTTGCACCAAAGTGAGAGAATAAACAGTATTGATATATTATATATACATAACTTATATGGAGTGCTGAATATTGTGCGTGTCCATTTATAAGTTGCCTTTGTAATATTGTAGTTTCACTTTCTTCCAAAATGTTCATAAAAAGCAATGTGACAATACTGCTTATTTCAAGCACATGATAAATATATACTGATCTATTTTGAAGGATTGAAGTTTTTTCAAGTGAAATCCAATAAAATTTTAAAAAATATGTGTTGTCAATTTTTGTTGTATAGGGAGCCTCATTACATGTCCTGCCATTGAAGGACCTATATTCATAAGTCTTGGCTTTATAAAGATCATTATCAAAACATATTTTACTTAGACAGCCTTTATTTGACTAATTTACCTGATATTTTCTCAACCGGTGTTTTTCAACCACTATTTAGCTTACGTAGGAATTACATAGTGAAGTTGCGTAGTCAGTGGAATCAATCGAATAACATGGTCAGTGACTAAGTAAGTACATTTAGGCAAAATCTGGACATTGAATCTTTAGCACCCCAATATTTTACTTAGACAGACTTTTCATGACGTTGACCAATTCACCTGTTAGTTTTTCGACCGATTTTTTTTCCAACCTTGATAGGACTGATGCATAATTGTTAGTGACTATATAAATACATTTAGGCAAAAATCTAGACATCCCAATCTTTGTCCCTTGATGCATTTTTATGTAGGACTTTTGTTGAGCCAATTTTGATCCCTACTGACTGCAGACAAAATACTTTTGCTACGGAAAATAATACATTTTAAAAAGTGATTCTTAAAACAGGGAAAATCGTTAAAAACATCATGGATGGATGTTCTCTAATGCCTGTCCTTAATAT